CCCCATCCATGATGCCGTCTCCCTAGCAAGACATGTGACCATCTGACACCCTACAAAATATAACCTGTATTTTAAAGAATGTTTAGTATTCACTATGCAAAGGTCGAGGCTCTTTAAAACTACACAAACTGATAACAGATGCTGTGGTTTCCTTGCTGGAGAGTCCGTCTACCCGTCTGTCTTTACACGCAGCTGGACCTTGAGGCGCGCCAGCGGGGGCGGGGGTCGGTGTGCATTGCGGCCCAGACCTCCCCCCACCCCACCCAGCTTCCTGCCTGCCCCGCCCACCTTTGAGCAACTCCACGGTGCGCAGCTCGAAGGGGATGTTGTTCTTCTTGGCGAAGATGTAGACGGCGCGGCAGGGCTGGGACAGCAGGTCCAGGTAGAGCTCCAGGCCCATGGCGGGGACGGCACGCAGACCCACGGGACAGACCCGGGGAACAGAACCCGGAACAAGAACGGCGGGCAAGAACCGCGGGGCAACCGAGCCTACGATCGCGCGCAGTCGACGACTGGAGCCTGACCACGCCCTCCCCGCCCATTGGATAAGGAGGTGCTGCCGCCTCCCATGGTCCTGTGCTCAGTTCCCAGGGTGGAGGTTGGGAAGGTTATACAGATTTGCTCTCTGTGGAGGCCTCACCCACATTCCAGGAAAGAATTATCCGATCCTCCTCAACCCCCTAGGGTCATATACATTACACTCCAGCTGATCACCCTCTCTGGAAGCAAAAGCTTGTAGGGCTCATTTAGAGGTTTTCAGGGGGCCTAGAACTTCTCCACTTCTTCAGCAGGGCCAAGTCCTTCCAACTGTGACCCTGGAACTCCTCAGGTTAGTGGCTATAAATGCCCCATTTTCTAAGAGAGCCTCCTGGGGTTAAGACAATGTCCCCAAACTCAAGTATCATAAAAAGCCATTTGGCAAGAGGATCAGTTACTGGAAAACTTGACAAAAGCTTGGCCTCCCTGGTCCCACATGCTCCCCAGCTAAGGAAGACCATGCTCCCAGTAGAGTGCCTTCCTGGCCTGTGCTGCAGCCCTCTCCAGGCTGAAAGGAGTGTGTTCTCTAACTACCCCCTCCCGCCCCGCCCCGTTCAGTGATCTACCCTCCTCCACAAGTCACCTTTGGCTGAAATACTACAATATGCAATCTCCCTGCTTCCTCCCTGGCCACCCTCCAGTCACTCACCAGCAGCCAGAATATTATTCTAGAACAATCTGAGCAAGCCATTCCTGTTCATGTTTACAGATCTTGGGTGTAGTAGCATTTAAGGCCCTGCATGACTGAATCCTGATCAGAAGAGCTGTTGTTTGGACTTTCCCCTCCCAACTAACTGTAGCCAAGCCTCTTGTGATTTTAATTCCCCTAGCATTTTTGGCAGCTAGAATTAAATTTAATTTTAGGATATAGATATAGGTTTTAACTGAATGTTTCAGTTGCTGTGGTTGTCGCATAGTTTATAATCATGTTCGAAAGACTGCCTGCCTGTAAAGTAAGTTCCAGGAGAAATGTTTAAAAATACACTTTGCTTGGGCCGGCCAAGTGGCGCGTTGGTTAAGAGCTGGCTTGGGATGCCAGAGGGCCCCGGTTCAGATCCCACATATGAGGGCCAGTGACACTGCCCTCTACAGCTAAGATGCTGAACAATAGCTCAACCTGGAGCTGGGCTGCCATGAGTCGCCGGCAATGGCGTAGGCTGAAGCCCCTGCTGCAGTGGGTTGCCATGGGCTACCGTGTGTAGCCAGCAGCCAGCGTGAGCAGCCAGCAGCCCCTGTGAGCTGCCAAGAGCCACCATGAGCGGCCATCCAGAGGCCAGCGACTGATCTGCCTCGCCCAGGAAGAGCGCAATGATGGTGCCAACTTGGGCCAGTGAAGCAACGTTCTCCACAACTAGACTGAAGAACAAAACGACAGCAACTTGTCTGTTCCCCTTCCCCAATTCCCCAATAAAAATCTTTTAAAAAATTTAAAAAATACAAAAATACACTTTGCTTGAGATAATAGAAAAAATATAGCTAGTTAAGCACAAAACAATGATAGCTTAAACAATGGCGATAGTCAACAAGTCATCTAGTTTCTGCTTTGTGCTTTTAAGGTCACTTGATGCGCAATTATGAGATATTTTGCAGAATCTTGGTTATTCAACCCAGCACCCCTTGTTCTCACAATATAATTTTATGTTGCTTATGTACTGTTTCTTTGTCAAATAGGAAGAAATGACACCAGGGCCACAAGGAGAACTTGAAAGTTTGTTTTACAGAAGGAAAGAATGTCTCCAAGCCAGCTGCAACCAGCTGCTGATTCCCAGGAGTTTAATATGAAAAACATTATCTATGACTAAAGAAACACAGACTTCTCTCGGTTCCCTGGAACGCCCCCTTCCCCTATTCCCTAGCTGCATAAAAACTCCCTATTTTCGCTTTTTGAAAGAGACTGATTTGAGAGATTTTGCTCTCCCGTCTTCTCGCTTTGGTCAAAATTGAATAAAACTTTCTCCATCTCCACGCATCAGTGTCTCAATGTTTTGGCTTACTAGGGCACTGGGCACATGAACCTGGATTTTAGGAGTTGATTCGGCAACAATTCCCAAGGACAAATGCAGGGCTCATGACTTGGGGCCAAAGTGCCATGTCCTGGGAGCCCAGCCCAGCCAACTGATCTACCACCACGCTTACAAACAACACATGTGGGATGCCTGCTAACCCCTATACTGTCTGGTAAATCACTTTCTCCAAGAGTTAGAAGGCTCGAGGGCAGTTATTAATTTCATTCTTGGCAACCATCAGGGGGAAGCTGACTCACAGGGCCTAGGAAGAGGGGTTGTCTTTTAGATAGAGACCAAGACCAGGGCAAGGGCAAAAGGAAGGTCAAATAAGTCACACATCAGAGTTAGAAGAGGTTCAGGCTAATCCCAGGTTTATTTACCAAACTGAAGACAAAATGTAGTGATTAAAGGAGACACGTCTGGGTGTGCCATTCTCATGTAGCTTTCAGGCAGCTATGGAAGACAAGGTAGGGGTAGGAACCCGGGCTGGGGAGCCATGGTTCAGTGGGATTCGGGCAAGTCTCTCCCGCTCTCTGGGCCTGCCTCCCATGGGACACTGGAAATGAAGGTGCTTTGTGAACTGCCAAGGGCAGAGCAGGGTCAAGGCTTCCCGGCTCATCGGATCATGGCCAACACCCCAGGCATCAGCTTCTGCTTTATGGTGGGGTCTGCAGGTGGAAAGTCCTTGGCCTTCAGAATGACTTTATGGGCCTCCTGGAAGAGGTCCTCCCCGACTGCTGCCTCCACGCGCTGGCGCCACGCAGCCAGCTTGGGTCGGCCTTCAAAGACTTGGCAGCCAGCACCCACAGGCTGTAGGGAAAAAGGGGACAGGATAGAATAGGGGTGGATGAGTGAGGCCAAGGATGGCAGCATCTGCCTGGTTTGGGGACCACATGGTTCTAGAAGAGGTTACCACAAATAAGTACAATCTCACAGTCAGGTGGGGGCAGCATAAGCAGGACTTCAGCAACCCACCCTGCCCACCCTGCCCACAGCACTCACATGCATCAGCTCCGTGATGGCTACCAGGTCAGCCAGGGAAATGTGGGACCCTGAAAGATAGGCCTTGTTCTGGAGAAACTTGTCCTCGAGTATCTTCAGGGTCACATCCAACTCTGCCAGAGTGGCTGCCAGCATCTCAGGAGATACTGACTCACCCAGGAAAACAGGGAACATAGTCTGGTGGGAGGGCAAGCAAAGTGGGGGATTAGGGGCCAGCTCAGCCTTGGGGGCAGGAAGGCAAGCCCCCTGCTCTTGGAGCTGCTTCCTGGTTCCATGCACCTTTCTTCCATGTCCTGGGTAGGCCTGCAGGGAAATTCCCAAAGGACTCCTTTTCCCTGAACTATTCCTGCTTCCATGAGCTCTGATTGGTTGAGCCTTGGAGGCTTCTGAAGGACTCAAATCCCTTTGAGAATGACTCAAAGGGAACCTGAACAATGAGTGTCATACTTTGGTGGAGGGGAGTGCTGGCTTAGGAACCACCTATTTTATAATCTCTTTCCTCCTGAATATAAAATCAGTCCCTCTTACAGTATAATTAGGAGGATGGGCTTTTAAGGTCTCTCCATTAAAAGCTCATTCTTATGAACTGTGTGACCTACAGCAAAATACGCAAACTCTCTGAGCTTCAATTTCCTCATCTACGATACAGGAATAACAGTATATGACTCATCTTGTAAATAAAAACGTGAGGCCCAGAGAGGGACAGTCAGTTTCCAGAGATAGCACAGCCAGGAAAAGACTTGACCAAGCATAGAACCAACGTCTTCTGACCCAGTGAGTTACCAGGGACTAAGGAGGGGAGTCAGGAGAGAGAAGTGTCCAGGATTTCAGAAGGAGGGCATTTTAAGGCAAAGCCATCAACAGCCTCAGGCTTGGCAGCTGTCAGGGAGACAGAGTCGATGCGGAACTCAGGGCTTCATGGTCAGTGCGATAAAGTTGCTTGGGAGAGCCTGGGATTTTGGAAAGATAAACAGGAAGGACGAGGATTGTACTCTGACCCCTGGCTCAGGGCTTTCAGTTCCCTCCCCCATACAATAAGGCTGGATCAGCAATCACACACTGGTGGCCTGGAGGCCAGTGCTGGGCTAATGACATTCCTTTGGTTACAGAGTTTTTAAAAATACAAATCAGCTGTTGACATTTAAAAATGGAGACATTACATATAAAAGTCCAAATATTCAGCTTCTTTTTAACATAAAGAGAGAATTGCTGGTAGGTATCCCTGCACGGCACCTAAGGCTGATACAGGGAGAAGCTGCCCACCTAGGCCACGTCCCTCATTTATTACCTGCCTCACCCTTGCAAGAGACAGTCTACATTTCCCTTCTGTTCCGACTGGGTGGCTCCAAAGTTCTTAGGGTTTTAAAAAAGTGTTTTTGTTCCACTTTAAATATAAAAGTCCATAACAGGGTAATAAATAAATTCTGATTTATTCACATGATTAAATAGAGTAGATAAAATGGATAAATTAGATCTATCCATAGCAATATAGAAAAATGCAAGTTGTAGAATGGTATGAGAGCATTTATATAAAATTTAAGCAAAACAAAACTGTATTTTGCTTATGGATATGTATAAATATAACAACGTATATTATGAAATCATGAACTGGAAATACTTGCACCAGATTCCAGAGTGGGATGGCCTCTCAGAATGGAGTGATCTTAACAAAGAGGTCTTTTGACTTTTGTTCTCTAATGTTTCTTTCTTATATGAAAAATGATGTGAGACAGAACAATAAAACTCATGATCCAGAATTAGCCAGGCATTTTTAAAAATGAGGAATTCCACTTCTGATTAGGATATCAACAGTCTCAAAAAACGTTGCTTTCACCATAATGACCCTGGAAAGAAAATAATCTTATTTTTCTGCAAAGCCATCAAAGAGTTATAGAATTCTTTAAAAATGAAAATAGGTCCGGCCGAGTGGCACGTTGATTAAGAGTTGGCTTGGGAGGCCAGCTCTGAGCAACAGAGCCCCGGTTTGGATCCCACGTGGGCCAGTGACGCTGGGCTCTCTATAGCTAAGATGGTGAACAACAACTCGACCTGGAGCTGGGCTGCCGTGAGTGGCCTGCGATGGTGTAGGCTGCAGCCCCTGCTGCAGTGGGCTGCCATAAGCTACCGTGAGTTGCCGGCGATGGCATAGGCTGAAGTAGGGCTGGCAGGCAGCTGGCGTGAGCTTTCGTGAGCCGCCGTCCAATGGCCGGCAACCGATCTGCCTCACTCGGGAAGAGCGCAATGATAATACCAACATGGACCAGTGAAGCGACGTCCTCCACAACTAGACTGAAGAACAAAAGGACAGCAACTTGTCTGTTCCCCTTCCCCGATTCTCCAATAAAATCTTTAAAAAAAAAAAAAAGGAAAATAAAAGAAAGAATAAAACAAAAAAATAAAAACGTCTTAACCTGTACTGTCCAATATGGTAGCCACTAGCCATAAGTGGCTACTGAGCTCTTGAAATGTGGCTGGTCCTAGCTGAGGTGTGCTTCACATGTAAAATACATACCAGATTCTGAGGGCTTAGTTTAAAAAAAAAAAGGAAATAAAAATAAAAATATTTCATTAAGTTTTTCTATTGACTACAGAATAAAATAATTTTTTAATTTTTAATTATAAAAAACATAGAACATAAAATTTACCATTTTAACTGTTCAGTTCATTGGCACTAAGTACATTCACAAATGTGCAACCATCACCATTGCGGTTTCAGAAGTTTCCTCACTTTGCAAGATTGAAACTCTGTCCCCATTAAACAATTCGCCCTTCTCTCCCTTCCCCCAGCCCCTGCCAACCACGATTCTCCTCTCTGTCTCCATGAATTAACTACTCTATACACCTCACTTATGAGGAATCATACAATATTTGTCCTTTTGTGTCTGGCTAATTTCACTTAGCAAATGTTTTCAAGGTTCATCCATGTTGTAGCATGTGTCAAAATTTCCTTCCTTCTTAAGGCTCAATGATATTCCATTGTATGTATGTACCACATTTTATTTACCCATTCATCCATCAATGGACACAGCGGTTGCTTCCACCTTTGGCTATTGTGATTTGTGAATAATACTATTATAAACATGGGTATAGAAATATCTTTTCAAGACCCTGCTTTCAATTATTTTGGGTGTATACCCAGAAGTGAAATTGTTGGACCATTTAGTAATCCTATTTTTAATTATTTTGAGAATTTACTATATTGTTTCCTACAGTTGCACCATTTTACATTCCCACCAACAGTGCATAAGAGTTCCCATTTCCTCATATCCTGGCCAACCCTTGTTATTTTCTGGTATATATAGCTCCATCCTAATGGGTGTGAAGTGGTATCTCGTTATAATTTTAATTTTAATTCCCCTAATGACTAGTGATGCTGAGCATCTTTTCGTGTGTTTATTGGCCAAAATGATAATATTCTGAATATATTGGGTTAAGTATAATAATATATTAATTTCACCTGTTTCTTTTTTACTTTTTAAATGTGGCTACTGGAAAATTTAAAAGTACATATATCACTCACTTAATACTTCCATTTTGCAGTACTGGACTAAATGAACTAAATTGCAGAGGGGGATGAGCCTTTCCTAGCTAGGTAAACAAACCATTTTCATCCTTGGTGTCCAAGCAGGCAGGGTGCACGTTTGCCACTGGCATGGGACTTTTCTGACTAAGCAGCCATGTGGGGAACTGAGGGCAGGGCTTAAAAGCAGAGAGATCTCATGGTTGTGGTGGTGCTTAGATTTCACATCCTTGCTGAAGCAAGCAAGCAACCTGATCCCACCCTCAAGATACTTGAAACCAGAGATGAACTGAAGCTAACTAAAGCTGCAACCCTGTCCACCTCCATATTAGCTGAAAGAGATTAACCTCCCACTGAGGCCTCCTGACAAAAGAAAGGTACAAGCTTTTCTAAGGGTACTTATCATGTACTTCAATTTCTACTCTTACACATAATGTCTGGCACACAATAATAAATTATAAGACATGCAAAGAAAGAGGAAAATATGACTTATAATCAAGAGGGTATAAAGCGACCAATGAAACAGACCCACAGAAAATCCAGGTATTGAAATTAGCTGACAAAGACTTTTAAGTAATTATAAATGTGTTGAAGAATTTAGAAGAAAAGATGGACCAAATTAGTAAGCATATGGTAAATTTCAGCAGAGCAATGGAAATTCTAAAAAAGAACCAAATAAAAATTTCTAGAACTGAAAAAAGACATATCTCAAATAAAGATTGGATTAAATGGGCTTAACAGCAACCTGGGCACAACAGAAGAGAGAATTAGTGAAGTTAAAGTCAGGTCATTGGAAACTATCCAAACTAAAAGGAAGAATGCAATAGTGCCTGAGCCCCTTTGGGAGCAATGCCCTCACTGTCCCCCCATCTCAGGGGCCTCACCTTATGCCACAAGGCTCGAAGGCAGTTTCTCCGCAAGGTTGTATGTTGCCACGCCAGGTATTCATCCACACGGGCACAGGCCTGCAGGTCCTGAGGGTACCAGTGGTCAGGAACCTTATATTTGCGGGTCAGATAGAGCAGTATGGCCACACTGCAGGAGAAGGAAAGATGTGATGGGTGTGGGAAGGGCACTGTGCTAGAGGCTTTGTACAGTCACTTCTTTAACCTTCCTGACAATGTGCCAAGGTATTTGCCTCATTTTCCAGACAAGGAAGCCAGGCTTAGAATAGTGAAGGAACTTGCCCAGGGCACACAGCCTTTGGTGGCAGAGCTGAGAGCCTCTCTGAGATTAACACCCAAGCTCATCCTACCACCAGGCAAAATTCCACAGCAGAGTGGCCTGCCATGTGCTCAGAGACAGTTCCTGATGAAAGGGCCAAAGAGAACTCCCTGGAGGAGATGGCATCAAAGCTAAGCCCTAAAGAAGTTCAGTTCTGTCCAGTCTGCATCCACTCTTATCATCTGGCATTCAGACTAGCCTCAGATGGCCTGATTATTCAAAAAGGCTTCCTGTCATCCTTTTGTTCTTTGTCATCCCTTTGCTCTCCCTAAAGCACCCTGTAGGAAACACTGGGGCTGCTGCAGGATCACAGAACAGCAGAACAGACAAGGCCCTTGGAGCCCTGCTCTTGCCCTGGGTTATGAAGGCTGCCGTGATGTTGGGTTAGGGATGGACTGGAAGGGCACTGAGGATGTGTGACTTTGGGCCTACAGGTAGGTTTTCAGGAACCTGGAGTACACCAAGGGCTGGGCACTCCAGCCAAAAGGGCAGAAAATCTCTGTATCTACCACTGGCCTATGTTTCTATGAGGAATCCTGCCCCCACACTCCAGCTTAACAACTCACTTGTCTGTGCAAGATACTCTGGAGCTCCTTTTGCTCCCAGCTAATTTTTTTTTTTTTAAGATTTTTATTGGGGAATTGGGGGATGGAAACAGCGCTGGGGAATTGGGGGAAGGGGAACAGACAAGTTGCTGTCCTTTTGTTCTTCAGTCTAGTTGCGGAGGACCTTGCTTCACTGGCCCAAGTTGGCACCATCATTGCGCTCTTCCCAGGCGAGGCAGATCAGTCGCTGGCTTCTGGACAGCCGCTCATGGCGGCTGCTGGCTACACACGGTAGCCCATGGCAACCCACTGCAGCAGGGGCTGCAGCCTACGCCGTCCCCGGAGACTCACCGCAGCCCAGCTTCAGGTAGAGCTGTTGTTCAGCATCTTAGCTGTAGAGGGCAGTGTCACTGGCCCTCATATGTGGGATCCAAACCGGGGCCCTCTGGTGTCCCAAGCCAGCTCTTAACCATCACACCAATCGGCCGGCCCAACTCCCAGCTAATTTCTCAAAGCCACCTCTGAAGACAGCGGCAGGTCCCTGGGAGTCACAGACCTCTCAAGGTGAAGATATGCAGATATCGCATGCTGCCTCTGGCAGGTACCCCTGGGTGCTCAACACAGGGCAACACAAGGACTCAAGACAATATGGTGGCAGAAAGGAAAAATGATGCTAGCTGAATGTCTGAGGAATTCTTTGGGGGTGCAACCATCTCAAGATTCCAGAGATGAGTTTAAAGCTCCAGGTTCTCCTTCTTGTGGGAGAGGTGACTTAGGTGACGAAAGGTTAGAACCAGGAAAAGTTTTGGCCTTTCCTAAAGAGGTATCTACTTGGGACTTGTTGAGTTGTAAGATATCCATATATCTGGGGGTCCTCCATGGACAAGGTCCACCCAGGGAAGCTGCAGCTGAAAGATGGAGCCACTAAACAACCCAGACACCCCTGGGCTATCTCGAGGCAAGTTTGGCCAGAGGGTGGCCTCTAATGCAAGATGATGCTGCCATCCTCTGCCCTTCTCTGCACCTCTGCCCTGGGCTACTCTCACCAACAACGACAGGATTGGTACAAAAGTAAAATACATGCTTGCTCTTCCAACCATCCCTGGCCTGGGTTCCAGCCTTGACTCTCTGTGGGATGTTGGGCAAAGGGCTCTTCACCTCTGAGGACTTTAGTTTTTTGTCTATAAAGTAGAGGGTTAGGACAAGGTGGTTCCATCAAGGTCTGGTGGCAGCCCAGGGCCCTGGTTACCTCTCAGTCAAAGTGAAGTTCCCGTCCTTCAAAGCAGGCACCTTCTTCAGGGGGTTCACCTGGGCAAAGGCATCGCTGAGGTGCTGGCCTACAGAGAGCGCATGGTGGTGGGTGGTAGGAGGAAAACACTGAGCCCTGTATGGCTTGTGCCCACTCCCTGCAATGCCCAGGCTCCAATTTCACAACTCTTTCCCAGCCTCCAGCTGCCCTCCTGCATGGTAAAGCTGGTGTGGGCTGCTGCCACTGTGGGCAGAACAGGAAGCTATTATGCCAGGTGATGCAATATAGACCTGGACATCCCTTGCCAAGGCCCAGGGGGACATAGCCTCCCTCCCACAGCCCACCTTCCTGCAACAGAGCTCAAGGTGCAGGGTGTGATGCTTTAGCTGGGCTTTTACATGCTCCCCACCTTTGCACCATTACCAGCTTCATGAGCTTACATTTGGGGTGTCCCAAGCCACAGAGGCAGGGTGGTTAGTCACCTGAAAGGAGCTCTGACTTCCTACAGGGACCTAAGTAGAGCCACCAAACAGAGAAGTGGCCTTTTCCTGTTATCTATTTAATTGTAACCAACTTCTGGGCCCTCTGTGTCCTCTTGCTCACCCGGCCCTGGGCACTGAGGACACAGAGCTGGTCCTGCTTTTAGGCTCTGCTGGAGCTGGAACAGTAGCATCCTGGTCCAACCCACAGCCCCCGAAAGTTACAGCCCAACGCCCTCACCCGCTCTCCCTGCCACCCTGGCATCTGCTTGAGTTCATCTGAGAGGTTTCTGCTCCTTCAGATGCACCCAGAGAGAAGCTTCTGAAAGATACTTAAGTCTCATCACCGCCTTGCTCAATAGCTTTCAGTGGCTCCCCATGACCCCAGAATCAGGGGGAGGATTCCCCAGCCTCAGCCACACCCAAGATCTTTCCTTTTCCCTCCCTCTAGACTGTTCCTTCACCAGGGACACCCTCCCTCCTCTGTTGGTGAACACATCTCCTGCAGCACCCTATTTGACGGCCTGGCTGGGACATCCCTTTGTCCTCATGCCCTTTCCCCTGCCCACACTCTGCAGAGGGAAACCCTGGGCAGGACAAGTAACAGTCCACAGAAGAAGCTGGGAAGAGATAATGATTCAAGCAGAAAGACAGGCCAGTGCAAAGGCATAAAGGCATGGTAGCGAAGCACTGGATGAGAGTCTCAGCCAAGTCGAGTCACTCTATTTGCTCCACCAAGCAATTCATGTGTTCTGCTTCCCCCGTACCCCATCAAATGCCAGGCCTTGGCATGCCAGCTGTGTCCTTAGGGACTTGTGTGCCTGCCAGAGAAACAAATCCCCCTGCTCAGGGTGCAGGGCTCACTAAGCCCCCACAGCACTCCCTTGCTCCCATCATACCCTGTGGGGTGCCCACTCCCCATCAGGAATAATAGAAACAGAGGACAAGGTAAGTAAAGGCAAAGTAAGAGGAAGAGGAGGAAGACGGGGACTCCAATGCAGAATGGGCCAGTGCAGAGAGTAGGGCTGGAAAGTCGGAGTCCTGGAGCAGTGCCCACTATTGCAAAATTTCAGCAGCTGGAAGCCACAAAGGAGGGACTACACTCTGTCCCAGTCTCTATGCTCGGCCCCCTTAACCCCTCTTCTGCTGCATCTCTTTTTCCAGAGATCCACTTTCCGTATGCCCAAGCACACCGCTTTCTTCTCCAGGTCTCTCGTTTCCTTCTTTCCTCACGCCCCTCCCCCCCAAAGGGGATGGTGCAGTGAAGGGTCCCCTAAGCTATGTTTTGGCCTTCCCGGTCCTCCTTGACCTCTCGGTTCCCCAAACCCATCTGGGCCCACCTTTAAGCAGCTCCACGGTGTGGAGCTCGAAAGGGATGCCATTCTTCTTGGCGAAAATATAGACAGCGCGACAGGGTTGGGACAGCAGGTCCAGGTAGAGCTCCAGGCCCATGGCGGGGCAGCGGAACCAGACATGTGACCCAAGGCACACAGTAAAGCCCAGAGCGGGAACGCGGGGCTTCCCAGGAGGCGCGGCCCGCCTCCCGGATGCAGTTCCCTAATGGGCGGGAGCTGGGCACTTTGGTCCAATCTCTGGCGCTACCTTGGGCATGTCTGACGGGCCAGGGGCTCAGGCCCAGCCAGAGGGGTGGCAATGGGGTAATCGCCTCTTGGAGGGCTCTCAGTCCCAGACCTTTGTGACTGGCTCATTTCACTTAGAATAACATCTTCAAGGTTCATCTATATTGTAGTGCGTGTAACAATTTCCTATCATCCCCATTTTACAGATGAGGAAATTGAGGCACTGCATGATTATAGACCCAGAAACTGTTTTCATTTCCTTTGGTAATATACCCAGAAGTGGGGTTGCTGGATCTCTCCTCATCATTTTAAAGATGGAGAAACCGGCCCAGAGAAGGAAAGAAACAAACTGAGTGTGGGTCTCAGAGAATGAACTCTAGAGCCAGACTTTCTGGTTCATTCCACTGTGTTCAGAGAACATACATTGCATGATTTCAATTTGTTTAAACTTATTGAGATTTTATGACCTAACTAACATCTATCCTGGAGAGCATTCCATGTGCACTTAAGAAGAATGTTTATTCTGCTGTTCTGGAGTGAAGCATTCTATGTGTATACCTGGTAAATCCAATTGGTTTGTAGTGTTGTTCAAGTCCTCCATTTTCCTGATGATCTTCAGTCTCATTCTATCCATTATTGATGGTGGAGTATTAAAGTCATTGACTATAATTATTGGCAGTTTAATCATATTTAACCTTTAGCTTTTCAATTCTTTTCGGAAGCTGGAAGGACCCACTCCCACATCAGACCCTACCCTCACACCAAATGTCAGCAGCCGTGGTGGTTGTTCCAGTACTTTATTAGGCAAAGAAACAAAGTTGTTTTCAGCACCTCTCCCAAGGAAGGAAGCTCAGAGGGTTAAGCCAGCCAGGCTCTTCAGGATGGGCTGCTTCTACTTGAACTTCTGCAGTAATTCACAGATCTTCTCCTTGACTGTTGGATCCAATGTTGAACAGTCCCACTCTGCCAACTTTGACAGCCGGTCATGAGCCTCCAAGAAGAGGCCAGAGCCAATGGTCAGCTCCACCCTCATGCGCCACTCAGCCAGCTTGGAGCTGTTGAGGAAGATGTTGTGGTTGCCCGCCATGGGCTATGGATAGACAAAGAGGAAGGTGTGGTCAGTTTGGGGAGCAGCCCTACCTGAGTCCCCTCCTACAGCTTCAGTCTACTGATCTCTGAAGCCTGAACCAGGGGTCACAGGCTCTGTAATAGATGTGGGATGGGAATAGAAGACTCGGAATCCCCCAGGGTTCTTGGCCACTGGTCTTGCTTCAAGGCTCCTGATTCCTTCTCTGAAGTGAGGCCTGGCCCAGGTGGTTCCCATTTCTCCAGTTTGAAACCTCTTATGGGTCTTTTCTTCTTCCAAGGAAACCCCTTGTTCCCAGATGAGGGTGGGAGGAATCAGGTTTTTTCCCCCACATTGAACTCCTTCTGTGGTCAAGCAAAGGGGGTAGGACAGGAGAACTCGCAAGGCAGCTTAGGAACATTGCACCCAAAATTTCAGGGAGGCCAAAAGGGGGGTGGGGTGGGCTAAATGTAAGTGGTGGGAGGTGAAATGTAGGGGCTGCACCACCTGGGACAAAAAAACTGGAGTGGCTTTTTCTGGTACTGGTCTGTACTACACACTGGCCAAGGACCAAAGTGGCTACTTTCCAACTGGCTTGAGATTATGCTGACCTCACAAGACACTGCCCAGAGTCTAAACTGGCCATCCTGAACACCAACTAGGTCAGAACTGGCCACCTCCCCTGCATGAATGCCCTACACCCAAATCTGCAGTGGATGCCCCTTAAACCCAGAGCCAGGGGAAACTGCTCTGTACAGCTGTCTGGAGCTCTGGAAAAGGGGCACTTCAGCCATAAAGACTCTTTGGAAACATCTGGACACTTCTTGAAGAGTCCATCAGGGGGAAGAGGCATCCAGGATCCTGGCTGACTGACCAAGAAGTGCTGTGTTCTTCTCCCTATCTCAGGCTTACCCTGCAGCTCCTCCCCACACTGAGGAATCTTTGTAAAGCCTGGATGATGATCATGATCCTCCCTGATTCAAAATCTCCTGTGTCCCCTGTGGCCTCCAGCTTGGCTCCCACACTGCGCCATGTCTCTGCCTTCACCAGCCTGTCCTCAAGTGGTGGCCCCACTGGTCACAGAGGGGTCCCACCTCTGCCTGGGCTCTGTCTCCCCACTCCCGCACTCTATACCTGCATCATCTCCATCAGGGCCACCACGTCGGCCAGTGAGATTTTATCCCCGGTGATGAACATCTTGTCCTGCAGAAACTTCTCCTCAAAGAGCTGCACGTTTTTATTCACCTCGTCCAAAATCTCCTCTGTCTTCTCAGCTGGAACCTCCTTACCTGTGATCATTGGGATCAGCAGCTGGCCAGGGTCAGGGAGAGGAGGGAAGAGGAGGTTGCACCCCTGTCCCACCTGACCCTCGTCTGCTTGAGAGGTGTTGGACAGAACCAAAGATGTAAAGTAGCTTCACCTCTTTCAGCAGTTCGGGTTGGCAGAAGTTACCTGAGGCCGTTGTTCAGAAGAATTTTGAGATCCCAGCAGGAAAAAATCATGTGATTGATTAGTGATGCCTGTCACAGGCATAGGGTAAGAAGTATGGGCACCTGTACTGGTTACAATCATGCACCGTGATGGATTGCATATACGATGGTGGTCCCATAAGATTATAATGGAACTGAAAAATTCCTATTGCCTAGTGATGTTGTAGCCATTGTAATGTCATAATGCAATGCATTACACATGTGTTTGTGGTGATACTGGTGTAAACAAACCTATCACACTACCAGTCATATAAAAGCATAGCACAACAATTATTTATACTACATAATACTTGATAATAAACAACTGTGTTTCTGGTTTATATATTTACTATACTATACTTTTTGTCATTATTTTAGAGTGTATTCTCCCTACTTGTAAAAAAAATAAAAAAGATTGCTTTGGGCCAACCGAGTGGCGCGTTGGTTAGGAACTGGTTTGGGACGTCAGAGGGCCCCGGTTCGGATCCCACATATGAGGGCCAGTGACACTGCCCTCCA